CCTAAGTTTCTACCCGTTTTTGTTGCAAAGGCATCTTTCCTAATGTGAACTTTCCTGAGTCTGCAGACAGACACTCATTTCATGGAATGCTTACCTATGTGTTCATTGCTTTATAAATAGACAGACAGGCGTGAACCAGTATTTCATTTATTTGTGCTTTTAATTCCTGTTAAATTAGTCATCACATTAAGGGTTCCCCAATCTTCTTCACCTCCTCCTCCTCATTCATTACTACACCAGTAATATCCATTTTATACAGTTCCTGCCAGGTCTAGTGCCAGATGGCTCTGGTTCTGAATTTGTGTCCTGTCTTGGGAACAGCTGCCATTGTCAGTGCAAAGAAGGTGTCATGGCTTTGAACCTAAAGCTGGGACCCAAACTTGAAGCTCTATGTGGGGCGGAGCTGTAGCACTAATGCAAGAAACCATGAAAACAGCACACACTTCCACTCGCTGCTGTTAAGCAAAAGCCCTTCACTTTCAGTAAAGGCTCTTTTGCATTTTTCCCAATCAACCATGTATAGAAATCTCATGCAAACTTAATTCCGTCACCACCTGACTCCGCTTCCCAGCCATGAGGTTCCTCTTTGTATCATAAACTCAATTAGACATATGCATTTCACTTCATGGAAACAGATGTTAAAACAAAGTGTGTATTTATTTCTCTTTCCCTGTCTCCCCCTAGATCTAGACACATACAGACACTCTCTAAAATGATAACAATAGGAAATATAGTAAATGAGAGAGCTCCCAATAAAGGACAAAGGGGCTTAAGTGTCCATGTATGAGCAGCAGATCTGAATTTCTGATTGCTCTCAGCTAGGCAGTTACACCTTTGAAGTCAGTGGAGTTACTCTGGGTTTATAATGGTGCTATGGAGAGCAGAATTGGGTCCTCTGTCTCAGTTTGTTTAAAAATAGTTTCGAGAGTTTCTTTGTACATGTTTTTGTGTACGTACCCAGCATGGCAGTTATCCAGCACTATCTTTGGATGCTAAGGAATTTTAAAGCCATGCTATTTGGCAACAAATGAAAGAAGTGAGTATTAATTTCTCAGTGTACTGGTAGAAACACAGGAACTTAATTACAAGGACTGACACCAAACTACGTTGCTATGTGCCACACAGCATGCAACCGTTCCTTTTTTAAAAAAAAAAATTGTGGAGATTCTCCCCCGGGCTTGACTTTTCTACATTTTGAGTACATTTGGTTTTGGAGAGAGACACAAGAGCCTTCAGCTTTGAGCAGAGAGTTAAATTATGCAGCTGCAAGGCTGCCAGGCCCTCCAGAATAGGATGCTTCGTTTAGATTTTTCACAATGCTATTGAAGTGCTTATTTTCCTCCTGAAGAGACACAAACAGATGCAAACTTCTGTAAACACTTTAGAAATGAATTCAGTGAGTTTGGCCTCTCAGCAGTGCTCAATAGCTGACAGAAAAATGTCTAATTAGTGCAAGTGGAAATAATAGGGCCACTTGGATTCCTTCCATCCTCCTCCAAGTCTACTTTTCCTAGGAACTCAAAGGCCCTTTTGTTTGGTAGGTCACCCTCTCTCAGGCTTTTGTGCGCCAATCTATTAAGGGAAGAAGGGGAGAAAAAATAGATTAGGCAATGCTCTGTGCTTAAATATATGGTGTGTTCATGAGCATTTAGAATGGGTAGTTTGCAGGGTCAGTTTACAGGTGCTTAAAGAGAGGGATTCCTCCATTGTGGACAGGCAGAAGTAGAGCATGTGTAGGCAGGGAGTGGGGAATCCCTTTCAAGTGCCATCCTTTCAGCAAACACCACTCTCTGGATCAGGAAAAAGTTAAACAAAAAAAAACAACAACAAAAAAACAGAACACCACCTTGAAGTGTGGAAAAGCTGGGAGATAGCAAATATGCTGCTATTGATTGGTACCATTATCCTATCATCATATCCTATCCAAACCATCTCTGCCTTGCTTTCTTCATCACCTGAGAGTTACATAGCAAGCTGTGCATTTAAAAACTGGACAGAATAGTAAGATCCCCTCTGTGAGCCTGATCCTGATCTCAGTTGCATCAGTATAAATCGAGAGTCTTTCTATTGATGTCATGGAGCTAACCTGGTATAAAAACCCATATGAAAGGAAAATCAGGCTCAGTGGCACAGATTCTCAAGGTAGTTAGGCGCCTAACTCTCATTAGGTACATGTACACTTAAGGTGGCGTGTAGCAGACAGACACTGCCCAGCCAGCTAGCGCAGATATAAATAGCAGTGTAGATGGGGAGAGAGAGCTTAGGCGAGTAGAGTAGCATGCCCTACATGCAGGAACCCTCTGCACACCCAAGCAGTGCCTCTCATGTCTACAGTGCTATTTTTAGCAGTGGAGTGTCCCACTGCCAGGGCCATGGTGAAAGGCTCCAGCAGTGAGGAAAGGCTCTAGCAGGGGGCCTTTCCCTGCTGGAGCTTTTCTCTACCAGAGACTTTCCCTCTGGCTTACTCCCTGCCACAACCTGTTCTTGCTGGGGAGCTGCTGGAGTTTTCCCTGCGTCCGGAGCCTCTCATTGTGGGGTACAGCTATGCACCAGAGTGACAAGTGTCGACGCAGCCAACCTTTCACTGTGGCGGATACTAGCTATATGTATGGTCTTCTCCTTTACACATTGTTATAAGTGTAGACATAGCCATTGAGTTGGGTGCCTAAATACCTTTGAGTATTAATTTGAGTATTGAATATGTGCCTACAAGGAGAGCTAATGAGCGAGGGAAATGTTATAAGCCAAGTACAAACATTGAGCTAGCTGCCTAACCTTTTTATTTGAAATTTTGCTGGTGATTCAGATAAAGTTCTGTCTTCAGTCGCGCAGTATCTGATAGGGCTTTGGGGACTGATTCTGCTCTCACTCACCAGTTTTAACGCCATTGATTTCAGTGGAGTTACTCCTGATTTACACTGGTGTGAGGGAGAGGAGAGTCAGGCCCTTTTTGGGAGAGAGCTTGACATACTAGATTTTTCAAACACTCCCGGCTCTGCACTTTTCACTGTATATGTATAGAGAGCCCTTTACATCCAAGCATCTCAAAGTACCTGACAAAATTGGGTAAGTAGCATTACTAGCCTCATTTTTACAAGGCGGGGTAATTGAGGGTTACAGGGAGGTTGTAGGCCAAAGACCTGGCTGGAAAGCATATTCTGTGCCTGTGGAAGCACAGGAGGGATGGGTTCCCTGACTATACCATATTGCAAGAGTCTCTTCTCGCTTCCTGAAGCAACCTGCGCTCCCTCTTCTCCCCTCTGTGAAGACAACTCTTTTCACTTTTCTCTTGCTTAAGACCAAGAGACAGTGTGACCCATGGGAATTCTGTAGAATAGGATCCAGTTAAAAGACAGTTCAGACAAGAAGGAAGGGACAATAACTTCACACTCCTTTACATTCCTCCTACAACCTGTGCTCCCGGAGTGATATTTTGAGATAGGAAAAGAGGCTTCTACCGTGGTTTACTGGTCCTTCATTCTGCCTTGCTTCTCAGATAACAATAATCATGTAATGTACACGTTTCAGTGAAATGATCATTGGATGCTACTCTCCCCATCACAAGACAAACCCTCAAAGGTAGTATGAAATTCCTAATTTGAGCTTGTGGAGCTCTTTTCCTCATTGCCCCATTGGAGGGAAGGGGGGTGGGGGCGGGGACTGATCCTCCAACTCCCCTGGAAAGGGCAAAGTGTTTGGGCCCTAGACTGGTAGATGTCCCAAGATCTGCATGGCTCTCTAGACACCCACAGAGGCTCTGTGCATCCACACTGCTACCCTGCTGGCCTCCCTTCCCGCTAACAGCATGCTCCTTCGGGAACTCTGGCTGATTCCTCATGCCAGTGAGAAGGATCAGCCACAGAGGAAACTCCAAGGGAGTTAATACTGCTTTAAAAATCATTAAAGGTGACCTGCAAAGGAAAAAACATTGGACTTCTGCCCTGTTTGCTTCTTTGTGATGTATAAAGGAGTGTTTGATCTTGCAATCTTAATGTTGCATTAATGCCAGTTATTTATATTTAAGTCTGATCCGGCAGAGAGCTGATTGCCTCCTGAGAGGCCATAATTTCCTATGGGACTTTTAGGGAAAAAAGGAAAAGAAACTCTGGAGGTAACACTCACAGCTCCCATTTAAGCTAATGGGAACTCCAGCAGCTCAGCAACACTAAAAATCAGACCACTTATTTGGATAATATTTAAATATTTACACATATGTAAATAAGTGGCCTGAGGCACTCAAGGCATTTTGTTTTCATCTTCACCTCTCTGTGCCTCAGTTTCCCAATTGCAAACTAGGACTAATGGTACTTACCCACCTATGTCAATTCTTTGAAGATTTATGGATAACAACTGCCGCACAAACTAGATGCGGAGCTCTTGCAGCTGTCAGTGACATCAGATGGAAATTGGGAGGGTGCTGGATACTTCTCCAGGCCAAGCAGTGTAAGAGCTAGACATTACCATTATGACTATTAATTAGTTTGTTGTTCATTTAAATTTATTTACAAAGCACTTAACTGCCATTCTAGGAGCAGTATAACAATTAAAAAGACAAAATAGGGACAAAATCCACATTACAAACCCATAAAACAAACTACCCAACCAGAAGCTTGCATGCTAAAAAAAAAAAATCACAAAATAGACAGAAATAATATTTATAATACTTATGAACTTTATTTAATCACTATCACCCTTACCAAAAGCCCGGGAACAAAATAATTGCAAGCAGATTGAGAAATGCATACAGTATTTTATCAACCAGCAGATATTTGTTTTTCCTAATGTCTATTTCTTCAATCTCTGTAAAATTGTGTGACTGTCTGATAGCAAATAAGGAAGACTATTTGACTGAAAATTTGGTCTAGTGCATAGTGTTGTGTAAGCAGCACTATTCCGCAAAGAGTTATTAAGCTTGAGTATTTTCTGTAAACACTTAACTGAACTTCTTTTACCTCTCCTGTTTCTGCCTGGCTCTCTCCTGTTTTTGGTTTTCTTTTCAGGTTTATTTGAAAGCCTCCATCATGGTCAAGGACTGTGCAACAGCAGCTGCTATTGTGTTCCTGATTGACCGATTCCTATATTGGGTGGATGCCTCCAGCAAACTTCTTCGGATTGCCAAAGGCCTGCACAAGTTGCAGCCAGCCACACCAATAGCCCCTCAGGTGGTTATTCGCCTAGCTCGCATCTCTGTAAATTCAGGTAACAAAACTCTTGTTAAGTGCTCTCTTGCTCTCTCTCTCCATTTTCTCAGCTCAGTTCTAATTAGGAGCTACTTGACTTTCAAGAGGATACTTTGTCCTATTCTGGGGATGACATTCCTATGATCCCAGTGCCATCTTTTCAAACCTAGATCCCACCCCCCTGCCTCCCTCCCACCTCCTCTTGCCAGCACAAAGGGCCTGGCATAAAGGGTTTCAGAGCCAAAAGCAGTAGAGAAAATTGTGAAAGGGTGTGGAAAATACTAATTGGAGCTTTTGTTCCTTAACAAATCTGGCCTGCTGGTTTCAAACAGGGGTATCTGAATTGCTATACTTCTGACCAAGAGCCTTTAAAAAGTAGATTAGAATACTGGCATTTTCTCTGCACTGTCCCAGCCGCTTTTTCAGTAGGGCCACTTGACTATACAAACAATGCAGCTGACAGACCCACTAATGTAAATTGGTACTTTTTTTCCATCACTCTTGGAGCGTGGATGGTACCTGAATGGCTTTTAAAGTATCTTCCCATTATTTCAGGACCAAAGGTAAAAGGAGAAGCTGACTGAATCTAGCCTGGTTTTAACAACTCAATTTAAATTTCATTATATTTTTTTTTGTAAAATAATGACAAGAGAAACTATAATTTACCTTTCATATTTCTTATTTCTCTCTATGTGTTTCTAATGCTCCCCTTGCTGTGGTGTCTAAGCACCAGAATATTCATACTTAGGGCTGGTGCTGCAAACATATCACTCTAACCACATGAGCAGTTCTGTTGACTTCGGTTGGACTGCTTGTGGAGCCAAAGCTGCCTCAACGTGATAAGGGTGGCAAAACAAGGCCTCACAGCATCTCTCTCAGCATTCAAACCTGCCAGTGTGTGACCCAGGCCATTGAAACGGGTGCTGAGATGTGGAACACCTGTGTTTTGTTGAACGCTGTGCTGTCATTGGCAGCTTTTACTGTTTTTTTTCCACTGTAAACCCTGTGTTTAGGATGTTTCCTTGCTGCATGAATTCAGTACCCACCTACTCAGTTCTTAAATCTGTTACTGAGGAGGGGTAGTTGTCCCAGGTTGCTCAGAAGATTGGTGGGTTTGGGAAGAAGGTGCCTGCCTGGGTTTGTTGGGGGCATCATGGGGAGAGGGATTTAGGGAGAAGGGATGGTCCCTGGCCAGGCTGCTCTCAGTACAGTTCAGGCCAGGCCATGCATTTCCCCAGTTTAGCTTTCCTCACCTCCTCTAAAATTAAATCTGTCCTATCGCCCTACCTCTCTGCAGCACACCATGGCTGCTGCCCCTGCTCCTCTCTAGCCCTCCTCTCTAACAAACAGACGGGGGAGCCCAGGGAGCAGGTGGGACAACTACATTTTTTGCAAGAGAGAGTGTAGAAGGGCGTGGAGCCGCTCAGCCTGCGAAGAGACCAGCAGCTCAGGGTCTGTTCCCCCCTGTTCCCCACTCTCTTCTTTGAATGATGTAGCAGCCTAACCTCCTCACCCCTCCTCGGTCCGAAACCACCTCTCTCTGCTTCTGATCAATCCCCGGGAACAGCTCCCTATTCCTTGAAGAGGGGCAGAGGGGATCAGGGAACTATAGCTGCTGGAGGACAGTCTCTTCCTTTCCTCCACTATCTGCCACTGTTTCCTGTCCTCGGAGGACACCATTTCAGGGTGGGGGCAGAGGCAGCGTGGATGGCACAGTGGAGAGCTCAGCCTGTTCAGCACAGCCCTACATTATGGGAAGGGTGGAGCACCACAGGCAAGCTGAGGCCTTTTAACGAGTTCAGCATACTGCCCTCATTATGACCAGCCAGCCCAGCCGAGGGGCCCATGAGGAGGGCACAGCCATAGCACCCGCTACTCCTGGCCCTCCTTCAGGTGCCTGCCCCCTGTAGGGAGCATCTCAGAAGCAGCTCTGTGTAAGGTGCATTTTTCCCTCCCCACAGCTGGGTGGCTGTGTAGGGGCAAGATCTGCATGATTGTAAGTAATATTGTAATATCTAGGGTACTGGAAGGAATGAGGCAAGGCCCATAACTCTGCTAGGGGTTGTTGTTTCTGTTAACAAATATTTTATTTATTTATTAGCCCAATTCTACAAACACATTGTACTGAGCATATCACATGAATACAATGGGACTATTCGCAGCAGTAGTTCTGCACTCTAGTGTTGACAGGATGGAGCTGTAGAGCAGGGGTTCTCAGACTGTGGGTCGGGACCCCAAAGTGGGTCACGACCCCATTTTAATGCGGTCGCCAGGGCTGGCGTTAGACTTGCTGGGGCCCAGGGCCGAAGCCCGAGGGTTTCAGCCCTGAGTGGTGGGGCTGAGGCTTCGGCTTTAGCCCTGGGCGGCAGGACTGAGGTTATTGGGCCCCCCGCCCGGGGCTGAAGCCCTTGGGCTTCAGCACTCCCCGGACTAGGGCGGTGGGGCTCAAGTGGCCTCAGGCTTTGGTCCCACCTCCTGGAGTTGTGTAGTAATTTTTGTTATCAGAAGAAGGTCTTGGTGCAATGAAGTTTGAGAACTGCTGCTGTAAAGTAATACATATTAACTTGGCATACAGGATTTTCTAAGTACAAAATAGTGCAAGTATCCTAGCTATAAGGTATCCTACTTTACCGTTTCTTCTGTGTTTCTGTGCATGCAAAATTGCATGTGGTGCTCAATATACATACAGGTGTCCTTTATTTCCTGACCACTAGTTTAAATCTAGCTGTGAGTGTTTAACAGCAGTCCTAATTTCAGTAATGTAGAATTAAAAACACTTAAACGTGAACAGTGAATGCATTAGAAAGATGGAGACTAACTAGAACAGACAGACTTTTATTCATGAATAATTCAATCCCGTCTGTATTACATAATGCATTTTTATATTCATCTATCTTTTGGGGTTCTTTTTTCAGGAAAACTTTTAAAAGCCGAGTATATCCTAAGCAGCCTTATAAATGACAATGGAGCAACAGGTATGTCTAAGTCATCATTTTTGGCAAGTTTATACACTTTTTAGCTAATTGTATCATTTGCCACACTCACACAAACTTTAAATATTATCATTCACTGCACAAACCTTGATAAACTTCTGATTTTGCAATGACTTACACCAGGCATAATGCTTCCTACCAATATTAGTCAGAATTCAGTGGTGCTGCTAACAGTAGTAGCCTGATAAGAAATAATACTGATAACTAAGATGTGCCTGCAGGATCGGGTCTTAAATTGTGATGTTCTCTTGCAGCTTGATCATGCATTCCTTGTGCACCAAAAACTCCCACAAAAGACCCTTTGTTGTTCGTATTTATTTCCTTTTTAATTATTATTTTTAATGCCCAAAAATGTGGTAGGCAAATTACATATTTCCCTTCTCTCTGCTTTTTACCATGAGAGAGAAATATATGTGGGCAATGAAGCTTTCTCTTTTCACACTTCCCTAATTCATTCAGGGCCCATATTCTGCGAACCTTTACTTAGGTCGAGAAGTACCCTGCACCTTTGACTGCATCACTGACACCCTGCCTGCTAATTTCTCTCCCATGGGAGTTTTCTAACATTCTAAACCTCTAACCAGTTTCGAACAATTGACTGATTTTATTTTATTTTTAAATCAGATTGTCAGAGAAATGTTTCTCTTTCCTCCCAAAATCACTTGGGCTTTATGCACAAAATGAGGAATATTGTGTCCTGTGCCAATAATAATTGTTTCATTATATAGTGACCATCAGAGCTAAAAATGCAGGATTTGTACCAATGGGGAAAAGAGAGTTCCAGCTTTCACAGCACTTGTTTCTAGTCTTGGAAAGGTCTGAAATATTGGACTTAAAGGTCGTAATATTCTTGTGCTATTTTAAAACGCTGTTAGAATTTTTATAAATACTTATTTGTTAGCGTTACTCTCTCCCTCGGAGGTCTGTACAGTTGGCATCAGAGCTTGCTTTACAGATGGAAGGATGTGCAGTATTGCCAACCCCAGGTGCTCAATAATCATGAGTCAGGCCCCAAAAATCATGAGATAGTTTTTAATTATACATTTTAGGTGCTTTTTCTTTGCCTTTTGGTTTCTGAGCCTTTATGATTCACCTGGGTCATGTTTTCAAGCTTTTCTCCACAACAATGAGGGCTAGAAACTTCCTTTTTTAAAATGAAAGATAAGTCTCTCAAACATCCACACAAGTCCAGGAGCTGGGATTGAAGAGACAGACCAAATATCACAAGACTTGGGATCAAGTTAGTGTGGGTTATGAACAACATTGCCAGTTTTAAAACAATGCAAACCTCTGAGATAAGGTTATTTGCATACTGTTCAGTGAGACTAATTGTTTTATCTAACCATAGTTTGTAATATTCATTCTTTAGTGATGTGTGTAAGTGTATGTCTTGTTTTTAATTATGCTTAGCAAACTTACTTATAAGTTAATAAAGTTTTGGGTGTGAACGTTCAATATGTATGAAAGATGCCATATAACTATCAGACAAAAATAAGAATTTAGATGCCTAATTATTATGTGTCTGATGAGAGAGCATTTTTTTGCACAGGCTAAAAGAATGTGTTATGCTGCCATTTATACATTACCACAAATATATTAATTACATTAAATAATCACTTTAGTTAATATTTGTGACATTTAAATATTATTTATTAATATTTAGCCACCCTTGCAAACCTCTGAAATCTTTAGAAGGGTATTCCATAAAAGTGCTAAATTTTATTATTATTAATATTATTTTATTGCTGTTGTTCTAGGGTATATCTAAAAACAATTGGTATGAAAGCTTTACACTGGTGTTTATCTCTCTGAGTTCTTTTACTGTTCTATCACCTGTGTATCTGAATGCCTACAAGGTATCTAAAGCCCTAATTCGAAGCCCATTGAAATCATTGGAAAGACTCCAGTTGATTTCATTGAGATTTGGATCAGATTTTAAGGGCTCAGGAACCACCGATAGCTGTGTCACACTCCAGTGAGTTTTTAAACTCTCGTTTCAGGCGTGTGGCTGTATGACAAGGAAAGTGATAGGATTCTTGTTCAGTCAGTCTGTATACAGATCAGAGGACAGATTCTGCAAAAGCTTGGTAAGATCACACTCTGCAGCCAGACACTTTTCCATGCAGTGATTTCACCATTTAAGTGTTAAAGTCATTTCCCATGTTCATAACTTACTAAAAAGAAATTCCTGTGTTAAGTAAAGACTTGGCTTATCTATTTTTTTCCCCTGGTTTCTCTGACAGAGAAAGCCACAGAAAATTAGCTCTACTCACAACTGGCTGAGACAGAAAACACTTACAGCTAGCAAGAGCCCATTTATCAAACAAATGTAATTTACAAATTGTCAGTCTGTTGCTGAGACAACCAGAAGATAAGCACTCGCAAATGCAGTTTCTTTATTTTTAATATTAAAACTATTCCCCCTTTTTCAACATTCTTTCCTGAATGAAACCAGCCAGTAGCTTACCCCCATAGAGCTGTCCTGAAAATTACCTGGGCAGAGGCAAGAAGTCCCCAGGTTGGTGGTGCAAAGAGCTGCTGTATGGAAGCTCTGCTCTTGGTAGGATGATAGCATAGCCAGCCTAATGCTATGCTGTGCCTTCTGAGTGAATTTCCATTTTCATGACTGCTGATCTGCAAACCAAAGCAATATGAAATTAATAAATGTAATGATGTAACTAAGTTGGAAAAGTGTCATAGAATGGTTTTATACAATCTTGAAATCTCCCAGCTCAGGATAGGTGAAATAAACTCATCTGCTTTAAAGCAATATAGAGCAATGTTGTAACTTAAAGAAGCAGTCTGCTTATTGATCATTTCTCTGCTTTATTTCAGGAATGTGGTATGAGGCAGCGGAGCTGGTTTGGGCGTCAGTTGTAGGCTATTTCAAACTGCCTCAGCCAGATAAAAAGGTTACTGTTTTTTTCACCCTGAATACTCTCACTAATTCCACGTTGAGTCCAGAATCTATTGTGTTTCCCTGAGTTATATGTCCTGGTTTTATTCTTCCTGGATGTAATCAATTTCAGTCAAGGTTAAAACGTGGGGCAAATGTTCTAGCTGAACGTTACACTACACTTGATTTATTTTTACATGCATGTGCTCGCACTTATTTTTAAACCAGCATGTCTTGAGCTTTGTTTTGTTTTCTGCAAAGAAATAAAGTGATCATTTTCATTCATTACCATCACCAGAAGTAAATGATCAAATGAGATGATGCAATGTAGTTCTCTGACTGAGTGACAGAGTAATACCAAGATGCAGCCATTATTATACTTTTAGGGAGGGGTCTTAACCATTTCATTGGAACCAAACATTCCTGAGCTTCAGGAGTGTTCAAATTCTGAACCAGGGTCTGAATATCTATCTATCTATCTGGGTAGTTATATAGTCCCCATCATCAGAGTATCTGAGTGGCTTACAGTTTTTAATATATTCATCCTCATAACACCCCCATGAGGTAGAGAAATGCTATTATTCCCATTTTACAGATGGGGAACTGAGGCACAGAGGGGGTAAGTGACTTGCACAGAGTCACACAGGAAGTCTGTGGCAGAGCAGGGAATTGAAGCTTGGTTACTCAGTCTTATGTTAATGCCCTAACCATCATAGGTCCTACAACCATCCTTCATATATTTTGTTTTTAACTTTGCAAGTAGCCCAGATCTTTATAACACCTCCATGCTTTAGAATATTTGGAATCTGGATCTGAATTGTGTAAACCAGTCCTATCTTTATAATGGACCAAACCAAAACTCCAGATTCCAAACTTCCTAAACTTAGTTGGTTAAAACTCTGGACCGAAGTTTTGCAGCTTGAACCTGTCTCATAAATATTTATATGAAAGCAGAGGTGTGCAGGGAATTGTACAGATATTTAAGAAGGCAAAGAGGCATCATGTAATAGAGTGATTTAGCTGTACTAACTGCATTTTAAGGTAATCTGTTGTCTGGCATACTGTTTGGGAATAGTGAACAATTGTCCTGTTTTGGAAGGACACAAAAGCCAAATGCACCTATCTTCATGACATTACAAATTCTTGTGATTCACTGACCCCTATTTAAAATTGCAAATTCCAGTGCCCAGAGTTAAATAGTCATTAACTGGAGCACCTGCCTTTTTGTCAAAACCTGTTGGGTTTTTTTTAAGTGCTTCATAAAATAGATCAGGGCAACATTACCTCATCAGTGGCTTGGTGCTCTATCAGCAGAACTGTACGTTGATTGCATTTGATATGGCGCTTGTCTAGACAATTTTTTCTCATGCCTCGCAAATAGTTTGAGAGATACTGATCAGTTCTAAATTATTGGTGTGCAGAAAAAGTTAGTAGAGTGTTAAAACTGAGCCTAAACAGATTAAGAACCTGTTTTCCAAAATCTGTTTAGTCAGGATTTAATGTAGCATTTAGTCTGACGATATTCTTATGTTATGTCACATGATGCTGTGCTGTATTTGTCACACCTTAAAAGCTGACAGGCTGGAGGAAATAGGAAGGAAGAATGTAACAAAATTCCAATCCTCATTCGGATCCTTCCTAAAATACAAAGCTAGATCCGCAGTTGGTGTAAATGGATGCAGTTTAATTCAGTTTAGTGGAGCCATACAGACTTACACCAGCCCTCATTCTTTCCTCAATGCCCGCACATTTATAATAATCCAAGAAACAAAATCCCTCTAACTTGTTTCCTGCTCTAGATTTCCCCTATGTGTCCTCTCTTCTCTGTGTGTCTTGTAGATGGCAAGGAACTGTCTTTATCTTTGTGTCTTGTGCAGCACCAGCAAAAATAGAAAATAAAATGGAAAAAACACTTATTTGTTTTTATTTTTCAGGGAATTGCTACATCACTGGGTATTTTGGCTGACATCTTTGTTTCCATGAGTGAGAAAGATTATAATAGTTTTAAAAACAACTCTCAAGTTGACCTGGTAAATATTCATATATTAGAAGTCTCTTGCTGATCCTTATTTAGTTGCACCAAGCGCAGCCCAACTTCCTGCTCTTGTCCTTGCACTGAGTGCTTGGGGAAGCTCCACAATGCCAGCCAAAGTATTTGTTATCTCACCTAGACGCAAAATGGGTGTCATTTCCCTCCAGGACAAATTAAATTAACACTGTGAACATTGTTAAGACCAAAATTAGACACATGTTAAACGTCCAACGTGGTGGGAAAGGTGAATGGGGAGAGTCTCCAGGACACAGCAATTGGTACAGATCAGACCGTTGGTGTAGATGATCTAATATCTTGCTCTGGCAGTAGCCCAAGACTCATTAGAGTAGAAGCCTCTTATGGATGCAAAACCTGAGAGGTGCTGAGCATCTGCAAAACCCAGTGGATTCAACTCATCAAATTCTAAGGTCCATGCTCTATCCTGACTGAGTCCTGATCTTCACTGAAATCAATGGCAATTTGCCTGAGTAATGATTGTGTTTTAACTTATTAAAGATCTCAGGATTCGACCCATAGGGAGTGGATGGTGTTCAGTGCATCTCAGGATTTGTCCTATAATGAAGTCAATTATTTCACATAACAACTTGAGAGGAGAAGTCAGTTTCCCTCTGTACTAGAAGTGCAATCTGAACATAGCATTGCATCGAAACAAACTGGGACTTTCGTTTTCTTCCACCGTGTGCCAAGTCCTGTGGTCCTAAATCAGCCTTTGCTCAGACAAAATTCCTGTTGAACTACGTTAATGTAAACAGTAAGGCTGCACAGTTAGAAGAAACCAGTATATGTAGAAGTTAAGGTTCCCAGGGCAATTTAATTCATGTGCATTGTCTATATTTAGTATCTTCCCGTTTTCTGGTTAGATATGTAACTTAATTTCTGTTTGACATAAAATGACTACTATAAAATCCATGGCCAATTTAATGTAGTTATAGGAATCCTCAATTTACCGCTTTATTTTAACAATCAAGCTGTAGCATTTCATTACATAAAGCCAAATTATGACTCATCTTCTCGTCAGATGCAGCTGGGCTCTGCAGTCAGATCAGTCCCACTGCTTTCAATGGAACTAGGCTGGGTTACACCAGTGTAACTGAGCTCAGACTCTCCCCTTTTATTTCCAACTATTTCCCACCACACTACTATGACCCTCATTATACAGTCAAGTCTTTGTGGGTATGTCTACACTGCAATGGAAGCCCAAGATTCAAACTCAGGCTCAAGCTTAACCCCGCTTCCGTCCACACAAAAATCACTCTAACCTAGGGCTCAGACCCAGGACCCCAGGAGGGTGGAGGGTCTGAGCCTGAGTCAAGCCACGACCCAGGATTCAAGCTCTGTTGTTTTGCAATGTAGACACAGCCCTATTAGATCCATGCTCTGGGAGTCCACCAAAAGTATCCCATGAGCTGACTTTCTTTGTCCACTGCAACACGAATAAAGGGCTTGAGTGGCCACATTTTGGGAGGGTGCTAGGAAATGTGGGAAATGGGTGGTTGGGCTCAGGCCTGCATAATGCAGTGTAGATGCTCCAGCCCCAGGTTGGGAGCCAGGGTTCAACAATTCCTAACCTAGGGTTATAAAGCCCTATGTTAACAAATCCAGGCTCTGCTAATTCAAGATCTACCTTGGACTTACATTGCAGTGTTGACATACCCTATAACTGTTACTTGCCTTTTTCCACCACCAAAAATGTGACATTACAAAGATGACAGTGTGTGTAAAGGAATTTTTATCCTGCTGTTTTAACAGAGCCTTCTCCAAGAGTTTGACCATCGCTTACTGTCAGCTGCTGAAGCCTGCAAGCTGGCAGCTGCCTTCAGCCAGTACACCCCGCTTTTTGTGCTCACCGCGGTGGTGAGTATGATTTCAGTTCATATCTGGGACTTGGGTAGGATGGTGCACCCCTCCCAGAACTCCTATCTAAAACCACAGAGGGAGAAAGACAGGTGGAAAGACAGCTCCCCCAGAGATGATGCTTTGCAAGTTAATACCTCACCCCCCTGCAACTCTAAGCAAATTTAAAATAAAGCATCATAATCAGAGATATGAGACAATCCTTACCTCATTTCCTAGAAATGCAGGAACGATCTGTAAGAGCTGGTATCTGTGCCTTGAAATGCATGAAGAAATAGCACTTTTTTTCTTTTTATTTGGAACAGAATTCCAGATTTCTATTTCATTGACTTCTCATCCTTTTTCCTTTTCAGAATATCCGTGGCACATGCTTATTGTCCTATAGTTACTCCAGAGAATGTCCTCCAGAGAAGAGAAAGTTCTATTTGTCAGAAGCTAAGGAATCCTTTGAAATTGGTCTTCTCACCAAGAAAGAAAATGACCCTGTCACTAGCAGGCAGGAGCTTCATAGTTTTATTAAAGCAGCTTTCTGCCTTACAACAGTTCATCGGCGACTCTACGGGGAAAGCAAGAGACTCTGTGAGGTGAGACAGCTATGTAGCGAAGCCATGGAGAAACTGTACACTTACAGCACTTCACCTTTTACTGAGGATCAAGACAAAGAAACACTTGCCAAAGAGATCATGTCTTTGATCATGTCTGTCAAGAAGCATTTAGAAGTACAAAGCTTCCCTAATTCAGATGCCAGGTCTTATGTTCCTGATAGCTACAAAGGTGGAGTGGAAAAGCCTATCTTGCATGGTGAAGTGAATTTTGAGAAAATCCTTGAAATGCATTCCCAGCATCATAGGTCAATAAGTGAAGTGTTTGAAAGTACTTGCAGGAGCCAGGAAACCAGGCAGAGAGAAGCCAAAATGGGAGCTTGCATCACTGCCTTAAAAACTGAAACTAAAAATGTAGACACCATGTGTACCACTGAAGAAAAATTACCCTATGGCAAATACATTGCCAAAATCTCTGATTCACAAAACGCAAGAAGAAGCCGTGAGAGACTCAGTGGCCGAAGGAGATGGATTAGTTCTAATGTAATGAACGTCTCCCTTGAAGAAGAAATGGAGAGCAAGCCATTAGACAAAGTTACCAATGATGAAGATGGGATTTTCAGCCATTTGCAAAGCAGGAGTCAAAGCACTAGTTCTTTGAAGTCTTGGAGCAAGTTGTCAAAATCAAGTTCCTCTGCTAGCTGGGAGGAGCTAGATTGTAACGCTAGCAATAAACTGCCCAGAGATTGGCAACCAAGGGAAAAGGGCTCAGTGGATGAGCAGTGTTGCACTGCCTCAACCGAATCTACTGAGGAAAATGTTCAAGCTAGTAGCCTGCACTCATTGTCCTTCCAAACTCATCATCTTACTCTTCAAGAGCCACAGAGTGGCTGTTCAGGTCCTTCTCAGCATTCATTAAAGAAAAATATGCTCTTTGCTAATAGATTAGCAGGTGCGTCCTCAGCTTCCAGAGAAGGGCTCTTGGAGGGGACAGAACCTGAAAGGGGTGCCTCAAAACAGAACGCAGGGGATGCCAATAGTATAGACTTCAGGAATAATGCTATTTCTTTAATGGACTTAAAGGGTGCCCATTGTTCTGGTCCCAACAGACCTGAGAGGGAGACGATTTCCTCTTCCTTGGCAGAATTAGAATCCTTTGAAATAATTGAGTCCAGAACCAAGGACAGCAATAGAGACTTCAGTGTTATTCACAGCCCTACTCAGCGCAGCGTAGTGGAAGGAAATGTAATAGATGCTGAAAGATATAAAAGAATCACAGAGCCATTATCTATAAATAATTATTTGTGGATTGACCCAGAAGGAGATACTGTAGACAATACAGAGGATCTGCCAATTGAGCCTCATGTACCTATAGGTAAGGTAGCTACTACGACATCTATAAGCAACAAGTCAGAAATAGCAAGTGATTCCTTTGTATGTAACTGGATTAATAAATCTTCTGCTGAAATGGCTGGAAATGGATCTTTTGAAATGCCTGAAGTCGACACCCAGGCAGATACAGAAGATGAATGGGAGTTTGCTTTCAGCAATAGCAGGAGCTCAGTAAACAGCTCTCCTGCCATGAATGCTCCAAGGCCTCAACTTAGCCACGGGGTTGGGATCAGAGTTTCACCATCAGGGAGGGAGAAGCCAGAAGCTGACGGCTTCAATGACTGTGCTACCACAGAGGAAGATGAAGCGGAAAAGTACAGGAACATTCTGAACAGCAGCCACAGCTCAAGCTCCTCTCTGAAATCATGGTACAAATCAGCTCAGTTTTCCAGCAGTTTCTCTGAACTAGAGAGTCCATCTTTTCCGAACTCCAGTGGGAGCTCTTTTGTCTTTGTGCCTGGGAGAACCAAAGAACAAATCCTAAAAGCTCGCTTTCTAGAAGATGCTGACTATGAGAAGCTCTTGTCAGGTGTTGAGCATAACTGGCTAGTGCAGAGACTGGAGACTACTGGAATATTTAAGGCTAGACAACTCCACAAAGCATACTGTAAGTAACATCTCCCCTGTGTGTATATGTTCTGTGCCATTGTGGTCCCAAACATAGCTATAAGGAGGTCAGAGCTAACCTTTGAAGGATTTTGTACTACATGCAGGCCAGCACTCTTACTATGATGATGAACAAGGTATAAAACCCTCAAAGATAGATAGAAATCTAGGGTCTGATCTTGCAATTCTTATTCATATGTGTTTGTGCATTGGCCATATAATTCAGAGGTTAGAGCATCGCCCTTGTAAACTGAGAGTCACATGTTTGATTCTCATTTTGCCTTATGCCAATAATTTAGAAGAGAGTAGAGTAGGGACTGGTCCTTTCTGGTCTTAAACATCTATGAAACTATGTATGAGTAAAGACTGCAGAATCAGGTCTGTACTACTTACTAGGATCATACAGATCTCAAGGGTCTGGATATTTTTAGGCCCTCTTCATTTTTCACAATATTTAGATTTAAATAAAAAAAGAGCCAAGCCAGGGCAGAACAACATTTTGGCCTAATTTGCTATTTTGCTTAATATCACATCCAGTTTTTTCCTTTCATCTGTTAACCAAACCAAGTCAGACTGTACCTGCTGCCAGAATCTCTCAATTATTTTTAATTTGTCTTAAGGTCCTTGTGAGTTTTATATTTTGTTCATTTCAATAAAACTCTGTTCTCAATCTGTGAGTCTAGGAGCTCTGTCTGCTAGCTCACAAAGTTAATAAACAAGCACAACTGACGTGAAGCACTGATTTAAAGTGTGGCTCTAATCTGAAGAGGGTAGGTTTTGATGAAACATTTTGATTGACCTGATCTGAAAAAAAATTCAGAAGTTCAGTTTGTGAAAGTTGTTGAGATTTCAATTTGTGACGGGAAAATTATTTGAAATCTTGAAAATTCTTGTAGAATCATTTCCTGCCCAGCTCTAAGTGCCCTGGTCAATCTAGTACAGTATCCACTTTCTGACAGTGCCGGCACCAGATGCTTCAGGGGAAGATATAAGAACCCTGCAGTGGGCAAATGTAGGATGATCTGCCTCCACACGAAGGTCTCCTCCTAAGCCTAGCAGTAGATTGGTTTTAACCCTGAAGGTTTTATATCCCTTCCAAATTTGTGTTAGCATTAACTAGTATAAGTCTAGATAGTCTTATCAGTATAAATGTCCAGTGCCACACAATTTGGTGGTATTCAAGTTTATATATGTGCTAGAGGCTTATGACTGGCTCATAGCAGGGGCATTACAGAGCAGGAGTGAAATGCATTTGATTCTTCCTGTAGATATTTTGTGTTCTCTACTCGCTCTTAGTTTTTCTGCAGGATGCCCTTATCATTTAAATTTTTATTAGTGTACAAGACAGGTGCAGGAAAGCCCTGCTACCCCAAAGTAGCCCTACAGTGTTTCCTGCCAAAGCAATGCATTTTACCTAACTACCTTATACATTTCCACTTACGGATGAGCTTCTTCAAAAGATGCTGTTTCAATACTGCACTGTAATAGGTAAGTGTGACAAGATAGCAGAGCTTTGAAAGTTTGTCTGGGCATGGACATCAATCCCAACAGAAAAAATTGATAGCTCTTAGGTTTCATCCTTGGTTACTGGTATGGAACAACCTTGCTAAAGAAGCGGTCGGTTTCATTTCTTTTGGTAGCTGCTCTTCTTCTGAAATACTCTAAGAAATCTGGGCTGTGGACAGGCCAGGAAACAGCTGTGTATATTGGAGACTACCTGAGCGTGGCGAAGGAAGGCAAACAAAGGAATGCATTTTGGATACACTTTCTGCATCAAGAAGAAACTTTGGGAAGGTATTGATCAAGCACAAATTGCTGAAGTGAAATTTTAATCAGGGCTAATTCTGCACACATAAGAACATAGCAATTGCCATACTGGATTAGACCCAAGGTCCAGCTAGTCCAGTGTCCTGTCTCTAACAGTGGTCAGTACCAAGTGCTTCAGAAAAAGGTGCAAGAAACCCCACTGTTATAGGGGCGTTATGGGATAACCTGCTCCCAGGGAAAGTTTCTTCCTAATCTCCATTAGTTAAGAGCTGGCAAATATCCTGAAGCAAAAGGGTTTTATAGCCCTTCCAAAGCTCCTGGCTATTTGATCCTCACTATTATAGCTCTGGATATTCTTGTTACCCAGTTTGATTCTGAAGTTACGGTCTTTCCATAGGGACAGGTATTTAAAAAAGAGCCAATTGTTTCATTATTGTTTTCTATGGTATCCAATACTGTGTTACATTTATTGTCCATTTTCCTATTATGCTCTTGGGCTTGTCTACACACAAATCTGCACAGAAGTCAGTGAATGGATTTTATTTCACACCTTTTATTGTTTCAAATTCTCTCATTGTGGATTAAGAGTTTCCTATTTCTGATTTAAATATAATCCAGATACAACAATCTTAATCTGAAACGAGAGTATCCACACACAGATTTGCATGAAATAGGAAAATAGTCAAATTAAAACCAATTTAGTGATTTCAGTGCAAGCTAGTATGTAAACAAGGCACATAGTAGAGTGTGCAATATTGTTGTGTTTTAATACAAATGTGAGTAGAGGTTGCTCATGGGCACAAGATTAACTACCAAGTATTGACCTCTGCCTGAAATGGAGGTCTTAAACTCCTTGCTGTGCTCAGTGTTGCAATGCCTAAGTCTGATTTTTTTCAAAAATGATTTAGACACGTGGAAGCCTAAATCCCATTTACAGTCAGATTTTGGCTCCCAAGTGTCTAAATCACTTTTGAAAGTAAGATTTAGGCTCCTAAATCAGTTAGGCATTGCAATGCTGAGCACAGCAACACCAAAATGGCTTTAAAAATCTGGGCCTAGCTGTCTTGTTCTCAAGAGGATAAGGAGAGAGGTGGGCGGGGCAGAGCATGGCATGTCTGAGAGATGGATAACATTTTATTCTGTGTGGTGGCTTTGTGAAATGGACACCTCTGCCTAAAAACTGGAATAAGTCCACCTGCTCACTTCACCTAGGCCACAGCACCTAGAGGCAGTGCTTGCTGCTTGGGAGAGGGAAATGTGGATTTTTGACCATGAATAAATGTGATGTATGGGTTATTAGGGTGTATGGTGGGATTTTCAAAGGTGCCTGTGCTCCAGTGGAAGTCAGCTGGAGTTAGATGCTTAATTCATTTACACGATTTGAAATTCTCACCCTAAGACTAAGATCTTTCAGAGCTAACTTCTGTTATTCCATCAAGAGGTACAAGACCAGATTCCACTTGTTGTCATTTTAAATAAGTTACCAATAAATAGCTTTGCCCTTGAACAACAAAGTGGATTTGTGGTGATGATTTGCAATCCAATGAGGATTTCCCTTATTGCTATCTGCCTGAGGAATTGGCTATTCTGTGTGTTTGTTTTTACCATGTAGGTATGTTGGGAAAGAGTATAAAGAAGAAAAGGGGCTTCTTAACCATTTCATTGATGTAGAGCGACAAATGACTGCCCAGTACTACGTGACAGAATTCAACAAAAGGCTGTATGAGCAAAAGATTCCAACACAAATCTTTTACATCCCCTCTACAGTACTCCTGGTAAGAAATCCTAAACTGAAATCAACTAAAGCAGGGAGTTTACAGAAGCCAGCAGGAAATGATCAGAGAATGTTTCTCCTGTAGAATAATGGGTATAAAGTGAGGAAAGTTTCAAGTTCTCTGCAGAACAATAATGATTATTATAAGCCACTTGTGTCCCATACACAGAGGATATGTAAACACAGCATTTTGGAGCGAGCAGGAGTGAGCCTCATGGCTAAAAATAGACAGTCTCTCCATAGGTTTCAGAGTCTGAGCTCAAGCTGTAACTTCAAAGCACTGTCTACACAGCTGTTTTTAGAACACCAGTCTGAGCCTTAGAATCATAGAATATTAGGGTTGGAAGAGACCTCAGGAGGTCATCTAGTCCAACCCGCTGCTCAAAGCAGGACCAACACCAACTAAATCATCCCAGCCAGGGCTTTGTCAAGCCAGGCCTTAAAAACCTCTAAGGAAGGAGATTCCACCACCTCCCTAGGTAACCCATTCCAGTGCTTCACTAGCCTCCTAGTGAAATAGTGTTTCCTAATATCCAAACTAGACCTCCCCCACTGCAACTTGAGACCATTGCTTCTTGTTCTGTCATCTGCCACCACTGAGAACAGCCTAACTCCATCCTCTTTGGAACCCCCTTTCAGGTAGTTGAAGGCTGCTATCAAATCTCCCCTCACTCTTCTCTTCTGCAGACTAAATAACCCCAGTTCCCTCAGCCTCTCCTCATAAGTCATGTGCCCCAGCCCCATAATCATTTTTGTTGCCCTCTGCTGGACTGTCTCCAATTTGTCCACATCCCTTCTGTAGTGGGGGGACCAAAACTGGACACAATACTCCAGGTGTGGCCTCACCAGTGTCGAATAGCGGGGAATAATCATTTCCCTCCATCTGCTGGCAATGCTCCTACTAATGCAGCCCAATATGCCATTGGCCGTCTTGGCAACAAGGGCACACTGCTGACTCATATCCAGCTTGGTCTTGCTAGAGCAAGTCTGTCGACCCAGGGAGGCTCGCTCGTTCTCACTCCGAAATGCTGGATAGAGATCCCCTAAGAGGCAAATGCCATTATCCGGTGAACAAGTTTGATTATTTAAAGATGAAAAAACATCTAACATACAAGCACAGATTCTCACCAGAGGGTGCAATAGGTGCACCTGTAAAAGTATGTACGTCCTGCCAGGCTCACCAAACCCATACCTTTACGTATGTACCTTGGACAGGGAAGGGTTCAGTTAACCAGCTGGCAGGTATAGTTGCCCAAATTGTGTTAGCACCTAACCAGTTTGTGCACAGAAGTATGAGGGCTCGTATTTGCCTGCAGGTGCACATGCTATTTTAGTAGCTGCACCTTTAGCGTACTTCTTTAAAATGTAGCCTATAGTTATAATGATGCTCTCGGAAATAACAGAATTAGGGTACAATTCTGCTCAGTTTATTCACTTAAATTGGCCCATTGATTTATTGACTTCTCAGCACTGGTGCTAGAACGGGGGGCAGGGGGAAGAGACAGGGAGCCATGACCCTCCCATTTATAAAAGGGCCATGTCCCCCACTTTTTAACAAAAGAAACATGCGCTGTGGGGAAAAATGCAGTCCCCATGTTTAGAACTAAAGTTGTCTGTTTGTTGTACTATAATTAAACCTTAAATATTATAATGTGGCTACATTTTGTATTCTGGTTATTTATGTTACAGTTGTACTCTGCAGGATATTTAAGTAGCATTTTAATTCCTCTGCCACTTTGGCCTTGGCCCACCCACTTCTACAAAGGTTCCAGTGCCCTTGCTACTCAGATGAGCCAGGCAAGCAGTGTGTGGCCCTTAGATTGTCAATTCCTTGGGGCAGGAACTTGTTTTTTCATCTGATCATTAAAAAATGTTTAAATCAATAATAATAATTATTAATAGTAACGATGTTGCAGGAAATAACAGTTAAAATAATATGGGCCAGATCCTTGGGTCCAGCCAGTCCCCATTCAGTGCAGCCTGAGGGTTACACTAATCTGCATTACTTTGTAATGGCACCCAAGGAATGGATGGGGATCATCAGATTGCAGCACATCCAGACTTGCCCCCAACACACCATCCATACCGAGGGGGATGGCAGGGGATGCGTAGAGCCAACATAGCTAGCTACATGACATGTGGAGAGTCCTCCATTCCAGGGAAATCAGCAGCTACCCTGGGACAGTGGCTTTCTGGCCCTCTTGCATCACCTGAGTGGCGCACCGGCCAGAGCATTAGCCAACATCTTTCCCTCTATCTTTTATAGATCTAGTTTACACATTTAACTACATTCTATTAGACTTCTGCAAATAAAATACAAATAGCCCAGTAGACTATTGTGTACAGTATCGATGTCCTATTTCTTTGTCCCTGCATGTCTGGCATATAAATTACTGCTCTGTTGTTCATGTGTACACTATAATGCAATATGCAAATGACTTTGGATCAAAGAGCTTTGCTTTACTGCTTTTGCTAAGTATGCTGTCATTGGTGCTGCTTCTCAGCTCCTTATCCCACTTTTTAAACTGATTTTCTTGCAATATATTTTTCATTTGCTTTACAAGCAAGATACATATAGAACTTGTTGATCACCGTGTCTGGTCTCACCAGGCTGAATTGACATTTCCAGAGCTGACACTTTCTTGTCTCTAGCTAGATGTGAGCTCTGCTTCCAGATGTGTTGTGGTGGGAACAAACAAATGGGTGGCACAGTGTGGGGGCTCATTACATCCAGTTTCCTGTTAGTGCAGTGGGGAAAAGTAATAGTGCAAATAAGAATTCAAATAACTGAGCTATAGGACTTCTCATCTCTACTGGGATTATTTTAATCCTTTAACATTCTGTTTTCTTTCAGATATTAGAAGGCAAATCTATAAAAGGATGTGTGAGTGTGGAGCCCTATATTCTGGGAGAATTTGTGAAACTATCTAATAACACAAAAGTAGTAAAGACAGAGTACAAAGCCACAGAGTATGGCTTGGCCTTTGGCCATTTCTCATATGAGTTTTCCCATGGCAAAGATGTGGTTGTCGATTTGCAAGGTTTGTATGATGGCTGATTCTGTTTGTTGTGTGCCCTTCCCATTTTCCAGCAGTGTGTGCTGTACAAAGAACAAAACCATTTACAATGTCATTAAGGCAAGGGGAGGCATAGCGGGGACTCAGACTCACATTGCGTAAGAAAACTGGGCACGTGAAATAAATAACACCAAGCGGCTCAAGGAGAACCTCCCTCTCTTCTTGATGTGAGAGAAACTGTGATCATGTTCCTGGGCCAGATCCTAGTGTGATGCAACCTTGTGTCACTCCATCCATGTGAAAGTTAAACTAAAGCTAACAGAAATGGGCCCCTGAGGGGCTTCTCTGCAAAGGGGGCTCCTCAGGTGACACTGAGACAGTGTAGCAGCTCCCATGCCACACTTTTCCTTCCCTGTGATTGGCATGCCCCCAAATGGCTGAAAGCTACCTTCGTGCATACACCCCCTCTTTAGCTTCACAGGCTCTCCTTGGTTAGAGCTGAGGACCTGACCTGGCAAGCTGTTGACTCAAGTACCCTCCTCCCTTAGCAGGGTAAAGCCAAAACCAAGATGCTAATGGGACCTGATGTCATCTTGTGATTGTGTTCTTACCTGCATATCAGTGCAGCCTTATTCTGCTCTCGCTTACCCTGGGGTAAATCAGGAGTAACTCCACTGATGTCAGCAGAATTCCACCTGTGTAAAACTGATCAGACTTGGGGTGGGTGGGGCTTAATTACAGAACGCAATGAAGTGAAGGGACTATTGTATGTCATTTTGTATTCTTTATTCTACAGGTTGGGTGACTGGTAATGGAAAAGGCCTCATCTACCTCACAGACCCCCAAATTCATTCTCTTAATGGGAAAGATGTTTCACACTCCACCAACTTTGGAGAGAAAGGAATCTATTATTTCTTCAATAATCAACACGTGGAGTGCAATGAAATCTGCCATCATCTTTCTTTAACGAGGCCTTCGGTAGCAGAACCTAACTAGCCTCGTGCAAAGACAGCCTGACAGGTGCTGATGTGGACCTGATCCCTCACACATTTAGACACATAAATAACTCTGCTTGCGAGAGCAGAGACATAGAAGTAAAATTACTTTTATTCCTAAGTGTGGAAGGATCCGGGTCATTGTTCCAGGTTGGTAACACCATGTTACTGAATACAGCTTGTGGAAATTAACAAAACCACATAAAAGTATATTCAAGGAACATACAGGGTGTAACAAACCCACAAAGGCCAGGAAAATTATGAGCTAACACTAGAACTTTGTCCTTACAATGATCAGTCTCATCTAGAAATCGCAGCACCAGAAGGAGACAAGATGGTACAACCTTTACTCAGGGCTTGACTTCAATGTGGGTTTTGGCTGAGAAAGGACAGTGGGATGTGTAACCCTAGCTGCTATTAGGAGATACTATTCTAAGGAAGAGGGTGTAGTCAGGATCTGGTATAGTTATTTCAGGTATTTGGGTTTACTTGTATTTATGATTTTCAGAGACTTTTTTCAGTGTCTACATGCTGTGTTACTGAAACAAAAAGTGATAAAATGTAGCTTCTTTCTCTCAGACCTTAGTGTGTAATTTCTTGCTTCCATTTTAAAATGGCAGTTTTAATGGTGCTAGCCGCAGAGCAAACCTTGCAGCCCTTATACAGGCAAAACTGCTGTTGATGCGGAAGGAAGCCTTGCCACAGGAAGGATGGCTGGACTTGCTCACATCTGTGTTAATGTGCCCACAGGACTGACAGTTCTCTCTTAAAAACAAAACAAAACGAAACAAAACTGCCTCTAATGGAACTGTGGCTGCCACAAATCTAAAGGCCAGTCTTGCAACCCTTATTCACACAAGTAGTCCCACTGAAGTGAAGGGAGCTATTTGCCCTTAACTGGACACAGGACTCCAACTGAGGCGTAACCAGCTCTGAGTAGAGTGGTCCTATCATCTCCCGTGACTTGCATGCTATGCCTCTGTTCATGTAGCCCAAAATTGCATCTGCTTTTTTGGCAACAGCATTTCATTGTTGACTCATGTTAAGGTTGTGATCCACCTCAACTCCCAGATCCTTCAGCCGTGCTGCTGTCAAGCTAGTTATCCCCCATTCTGTATTTGTGCATTTGTTTTTTCTTCCCTAAGTGTAGCACCTTACATTTGTCTTTGTTGAATTTTGTTGAAATGTTGAATTTATCTTTGTTGAAAGTGTTGCAGCTACACTACTGTTTTTAGTGTCCTAACTCAGATGAGAGCTAGCACACATATGCATATGTGAGCTGGGAGTCACCCCTCTAGTTCATAGTGTGGACATAGCCACACGGTCACAATGTCTCCTGGGAACTGCAGCTTACACAATTTTCAGGGCAGTGCCTAAAGTCACATTCTATACCTATGTGTTCATCTAGCACTAACTTATCTGACACATTGCACTCTCTTGTCACTGATGGTGTAAGAACCTGTCATCTGTAGCTCATGTCATCTGGAAGTGCCTTCCTGAACATCTCTACTTAACTCCTAGCTGTTTTCAAATCCACCCTGAAAGGATATCTTTTCTCCCTTGTCTATAGCTCTAACTTCCCTTTTTCCTCTGCTTTCATTTCTAACATGTCTCTTGATTAACTCTATAAAGAATGAAAATGCTAAACTCCCTATATGCTTAATGTATCTATCCAGCCCATGATGTATTAGGATTTCTGCAGAATATAAGAATATCATATAAAAATTAAGATTCTGCTCCTCATGGTTGTGAAAATAAACTTTCCAATGTACAGTGACCCTTTGCACTAGCCTAGATAAACCTGAAACACCAACTCTAAGAAAGTTGTGAACTGTCCTAATTCAGAGCAGTATGATGATAACTCTGAAGTGTAATGATGCTGGAAGAAACAGATTGGTGGATAATTTAGGCTTGCAATTGCACACATAATTTGCACATATAACATGCAGTCATGCATGCAAATTAGGTAATTGCACATACAAATGATTAAATAAACAAATGGCAGACATAGGGACAGTCCTAAAAGTATCCTGCAGAATTTTCCCACTGACTGATGCTGAATGCACTAGCAATTTTACTAGCTACGTGTTTGATCCATCTCCCATTAATGCCAATGGAAAAATTCGCATTAACTCCAAAGAGTTGTCTTGGCCTCTGAAAGTTTAATTATGACATGGTCATATTCTAGTTCACCCTTTGTACAATCATTATCATCAGTGAGAGCTCTGTTATCGACTGACGATAGTTTCATGTCCCTGATTTTGTGACCCTGGCTCACAGACCGTAATATAAAACTGTAATTCCCCACAGAATGGGCTTGATGCCTTAGCATTTTGGGGTTTCTTCTGTCAACATAAATTATGCGACTGAAGCAGAAATATCTGGTGATATTCTGGGGTTCAGGAGATGTAATTTCACACTAACCCCCTCAACAGCCAGTGTCACTCACCCTGCTGTTCTGCCCCCCGAGAATACTCAATTTAATTCAACCCACACCCCGAAGACGTTTCTTGGAGCTTTTACATGTTTGCTGGCTGTGCTGGGGACATGTTTTAGTATTGCATGTACATGCAGCTGCTGCTTTGAACATTTCCTCTTTATTTCATTCATTTTTATCTGCACTTTTGTTATTGTTCATGGTTCTATAATATACTCCAAGAACCCCTGATTTTTAACACTCCACGGTCTTTGAATGTCCTGTGGTATGTGTGCTGTCCGCAGGCTTCAATAGTGCTTACCCTGGGTAGAGGCAGCTGCCGCTTTTTACTTTTTATGAAACAATCTTTTGTTGGTTTTTTTAGACCAAAGCTTGTAATTCATGGACGTGACCTTCTTGGACTTTAGTGAGCTACCACCTGGAGAATTGGAAAGTAGCAAATGCAGTTATGTCATTCCCTTCTCAGAAGCTCATTGGGGATGTATTCAAGGGGCAGAGAATGTCAGGCTTTATCTGCATTCGATTTCTTGTCAGGCTTGTCTTCACTGCAACAGATAGCTCGAGTTAGTATACTCAAGTTACTGCACTCCAGCTAGCCTTCAGAACAACACTGGAGTTGCACAGAGGGGTCGGATTAGCAGCACAGCCTGATGAGTTGTAACTCGAGCTGTTACATTCCCCACTGTGTAACTAGCAGCAGCATCACTCCAGCCTCAATGCACCCCTCTTAAGGGTAGTCTCCACTGCACCTGGGAGGTGATTTCCAGCCCAGGCAGCCAGACTCAGACTAGCTCCGCTTGAGCCAGTATGCTAAAAACAGCAGTGTGGATGTTACAGCACGGCCTAGCTGTCGGAGTCCAACCCCCCACCCCAGGGTCTGAGCTCAGGTAGTTAGTCCGAGCCACCGCCTGTACCTCATTTTTAGCATGGTAGCTCAAGCTGAGCTAACATGAGTCTGTCTACCCATGCTAGGTATCACATCCCCCAAGCTGTGGTGTAGATATTACCTGGCTTGAGTTTAAAGCACAATTTAGCTAGAGATTTTGGGGCGGGGAGGGGGGCAGGAATTGATTTAGTATTAACACTCAGATCATAGCTTGAGCTAACTGTGCTGTGAAGACTCACCCTTAGTGCTCCTTTGCTGGTGATGTGATTGACCTCGTAGAAAGCACTGAAAGCCTCTGTCTGAAGTAGCCAGACAAACTAGTTTCAGATGCATTCAGATCATTGTCCCAACTCTTCTGTGAGCTGTATGGTCTCGTGGTTGCAATGCAGGATTCAGACACTCTCAAGTTTTATTCCTGGTTCTTCCACTGATTTGCTGTATGGCCTTACTCAAGTCAATTAACCTCTCCGTGGCTCTGTTTCCCCATCTGCATAATGAGCAGAATACCTACCGCACAGGTTTGTTGAGGATTAATTTGTTACTGTTCGTATAGCACTTTGAAGATGCCATTGCCATGTCTAGTAAGTGCTAAGTAGTATTATCTATGAACCAGCTAAAGGCCTTGATCTTGCATATAGTTCCATGTAGTTCGGCCCTGTCTCCATGTGGCACCTTATCAACTTCAGTGGGGCTCTGTGCAGGTTTGGGGGGGTCCACCCATGTGGAACCACCTCTTGGATGGGGGGCAACATTTGTTACTTCTCAGGGAGCTGCCCCACCAGCTAAAATAAAACAGCTCTGACTTTGCAAAGAGTGTGCCCCCTTTGCGTTTTGTAACAACGTGAATAAAAGGTGTTTGATTTTCCTGCTAAATCTATAGTTCAAGACTTCCATTAGCTAAAATACAATTTTTTGCAAGCCAAAATATGTCTTAAAGTTCCAATATCCTGTCCCAGAAAGGCATCTGGTTGATATTGTTTAGGGTTTTTTTTCCCCCCTCATCTTGAGGGGGAAGGAAACTGGATACTAAAGGTCCATCAAAATATCGGACCCCCAGTACAAAGTTAGACTTAACAAAACCATCAGCTTTTGTTTCTCCCGCCAGCAGAGAGTTCAGACTTTTTGTTACTGTTGTTTAGTTCTGCTATTGTTTTCGAGGTGATGTTTGTACTGAGTTGTTTGGATATACAGATGCCCTATAATTGCACAGAGCAGGGGAAACTAGTTGTAAGGAGTGGGAAGCAAGAGAAAAAAATTAAATCTCTTTATTATGGTGCATAAACCTTCAGTGTTGGGGAGCTGTGCAGCTGCGCAGGGAAAAAATGCATTCAAAAATATAATGCTAGTGTGAATAATCCTTTCTAGAATGCTGCTTGCAGACTGCTCCAGCTTTGTCAGGTGAACTTGAACTGGGCCATCAGATTTGCTCTCATTCCCACTGCACACTGTCTGTCACCCCAGGGCATTCACCGTCTTGCCTGTTGTTAAAAAAGAGCAAACAATCCATCATTGAGCCCGGGAGTCACTTTCTCATAGAAAAGTAAAATCGGCATGTGACAGTACACTCAGCTCCAATGTTTCGCAGATTAAAATTATACATGAAGACTCACGTGTTACTGGGAAGATTAAGTCAGTTATCTTGTACCACAGCCAGTAAAGAAGAGGATTGTCTGCAACAGTAAAATGCTGGATTTAACCTAGTGACAAAAGTTGTGTGCACATGGGTTAGTGCTTCTGGAAAATACATCTATAGAATTTGAAGGAAAAAAAGATAGTAAGGTTTCAGGAATTAATAGGCTGCAAAAATGTTACGTTAAAGCCTTTGTACAGAATTCACTGGGGTGTTTTTTTAATTTTCTCAGATTGGTTGAAGGGTCCTAATAAATTATAAGCAACTAACACTGCCGTGCTTAGTAACTATCAGCACTAATAACACTTTTAATAATTAAAACTGACAGCATTTTAAATAGCTAATTTACAGTTTATATTGTTTGTTTTACTTTTTGATTTCACTCTGGTAGACAGTGAAATTAAACTGATCATTTTCACTATTTTTAGTCAGTTTCACTTTTGGTTGTCATGTATTAGAACAACGGTATTGTTTTCTTTCACAATCTATCCATCTCACATAATTATATGGCACCCATTAGATTAGTATCTGGGCGCCTGACAGTCTTTAATGTGTTTATCCTCAAAATGTCCCTGTGATGTGAACAAGTATAATTATCCCTGTGGGTAATTGTCTGCAGTGATTCTCCCAAGGACTTCTGGAGGAAGCCGTGATGGAGCAAGGAATTTCACCGTAACCATTTACCCACCTTTCTGCTCCGAGGGGCTGTTACAGAGAAACCAAAAACAAATAAATCTTTTCATTTAAATTTTTACAAAATGATTTTTTTCTATTTATGAGATTTATAAAAAGCTTTTTTCTTAACAAAAATCTAAATTTTAAGTCTTAAGCAAGTTGGCAGTATCTCTTTATTCTAACAAATTACAGACCCTTATTATACCTGTATCTTTTCACTGTAAAAAGGCCCACATCTGCCAGTGTTTGTCATAAATCATTAGGAAAATAAATGTGCATGACACCATTTTGCTGAGTTTTCCCAGTGCACTATAAAAGATGGAATGCACATCACATCATTACACAAGGTTGTATTTTCATGTGTGTCTCTCTGTTGACTCCAATAGGCTTTGGATCAGGCCCTTTAACTGGGTCCCCAGTCTTTTCTGAGATGCTGTGTAACCTAAACCACACAAGGCCAGAGTTTGATCCCATTATTAACACTGAATAGTCCATCGCTCCATGTGTAGCCCCAATTACTTCAGTGTTGTCGCTTTGAGGAGTAGAATACTGAGATGCTACGTGCTGTGAGGAAGGAATCAGAACCTGGCTCGCAAGGAGATGATCTAACATTTTATATCCATTTTCAACAAGTATTTGGTGGGTGAGGTCAAAACCCAAGTTTGGTAGTTTTCTTCCTGTGGTTCCCTGGGTGTTCGAAAATGGGCTCTCTCTTTGCCCTGGTTAACCCTGAGTGAGTTTCTAGCTTATAGTTGCCTTTGAGTTAGCAGTAACAAACCAGACTGACTCAGCTATCTGTGAGCTCGCTTTACGAAAGGTAGCCTCAGCAGTCTGCTCTTTCAGCACATCTCCCTGGCAGCAGTTGTTTGAAATAAGGACACATGGTAATGGTCTGTCTCTGTCATTTATTTTGGTGCAAGACTTCTGAGTCAGGGAGCTCAGGATTATAGGAGTCACGGATAAGCATCTCAGTTACTACAGCCCTTTAATGAGAAGCAGCTAGTGTGTCACTCGGTAGCTAGTGGCAATGACCGCCTGCCAGACAAGCTACAAGGGTTACTGGCAGCCTAAACAAAGGCAAATCACCTGGATTGCCAAGTGCTGCTCAGTTGTGTTAGTTGGGTTCCTTTGGGCATAGCACAGCACTTT